GATGGACGTAAGATATCTTTTCTTCATGGAGATTTAGAACAGCATATTTACATAGAGCAGCTAGAAGAGTTCAGTTAGTTGGACAAGAGCACTTGATCTGTGAATTGATCACTTTATGGTTTGAAATAGTCTCTGCGATGTGGTACAAGCGATGACTCCTACATGCTGGATTGGGTGCATGAGATGTATGATTGTTGTGGTTATTTAAAAAGCATTGGCAATGGTTCTTTTATTTTTCTATTACTTTATTTGGATATGTTGATTGTTTCGATAATACAAGTGAGGTTAACAAGTTGAAGACTTTGTTGAGAAGAGAATTTGACATGAAGGATTTGGCTAAGGCCAAGAATATTCTTGGGATGAAGATTTGCAGGGACGAGATTCTAGAAAATTCTGGTTATCTCAGTGTAGCTATGTTGAGGTGTTAGATGGGTTCATCATTTTTTAGATTATTTGTCGCTTAGTGCTTCAAGACAAATGCTGAAAATGAAGACACGTCAAAGGTTCCATATGCTAGTATATGCTATGGTTTGTACAAGATTGGATTTGGCACAAGCTGTTAGTGTGGTGAGCAAGTTTTTAGCAAGTCCATGACAATAGCTTTGGGAGGCAGTCAAGTGGATTTTCAGATACTTGAGGGGCATCATGTATGGCAAACAACAAAATGATCATTGTGGCATCATGTTTAGTAGGCAACAAGATGATCATTTAGTTGTGGAATATGTAAATGTAGATTATGCATGGGATTTGGATGACTGAAGATCGACTACCGGTTATGTATTCACTCTGACAGAGGGAACTATTTGTTGGAGGTCCATGATTCAGTTTCTAGTTGCACTATCTTCGATTGAGGCAGAATATATGTCAGTGGCTGAAGCTGCTGAGGAAGCTTTGTGCCTTACAGGTATGGTCAAGGAGCTGCGTATTCAACGAGGTGGAGTTCGGTTGAAATGTAACAGTCAAAGTGCCATTTTTGGCAAAGAACCAAGTTTATCATACAAGGACCAAGCATATAGATGTGAGATTTTATAGGATCAAAGAATTGGTTTCTTTTGGTGAACTGTTATTTGAGAAAGTTCACACTGTTGAGAATACAGTAGATATGTAGACAAAACCCGTTGTCACGAATAAGTTCAAGTAACATCTTCAGGTGTTAGAGAGGAGATGTTCCAACCTATTGGTCCTAGATGGAGCTTCCCTAGATTATGCTTTTTTCATTGTTTATCCTAAGGGATGGATATTCGTCAAGGTGGAGATTGTTGTAGTATAAGGCTCCGTTTGATAGCCTTAGTTTTCCATGGAAAAGGAAAACATTTTNTTTTATAAAAAAAGAAGCCAAACGGATACTAAACTTTCAACATTTTTCAGGTAGAAAATTATACCAATCAAACACAATTAATTACAATTCCCAGGAAAACATTTTCTAGGAAAATTTTTTCCCTGTAAAACATTTTCTTTCCACCAATTTTCCACCCTTACAATCAAACGGACCCTAAGGCTTATATAGAGTAGAATACATATATATTGGAAAAAATAGACCGATATCGAAGTGGAGTGAGAAGAGCGGAGCGCAACGAATGGAACGAAGACATCATATATATAATAAAATCATAATCGCTTTGCTCTCGTGGATGAAAACTTACTATCAAACCACATAAAGTCGTATTTTTCTTTGTTGATTCCATATTGTTCATCACTATTTGGCACAAACCACAACAATATGCTAAGCAGAATTTTCATCCGGTTACAAAACAATTGGCTTAACTAAACTCATTATATGCTTTCTTTATGTCCACCTCCAACCTCCCAATTCCTTCAACTTGCTATCAGATACCGTCTCCACTAGACAATTAATTTCCCAACTCCTCGTCTCTATATTGAGCAACATAATTGAAACCCTACATCCACTGCATAACTACTTCCCGTACAATTACTTGATAATTAGGAAGCACCAACACGTTTTTGGTGCCAACGAGTTGGTTCTGAAACATATTGGGCATCGACATGCAGTCGACATGTTTCGAAGGTGCTGGCTTCCTATGATGCATCGGCACGGACACGTGTGTCCGACACGATACGTGTCGGATACGTCGACACGCGATTTTTAAAAAAGTTCAGACACGACACGTTATCGACACCTTGATTAAATTTTTAAAAATCTTCATTTATATAGTATAAATTTAGTTTTATACTTGTTAATTTTTCTTGTTGAAATCTTTTAAATATGAGTACCTATTTGTTATTTACTAATAATTTTGAGTTAAAAATATATAATATTTCTAATAAAAAAGAAAAATGATCATGGTAGAGTGTCTGAGTAGTATCAGTATCCGACACTTGTCGGATACGGACACACCATAGTTGAAGTGTCCGTGCAATAGAGCTTTTACAACATCTTTTGTCCGTTTTGAATCTCAGAAACTGATAAACCAGTTTTGTTTGGATTATATCCTCTGAAATAGTTGTTCATTACTTAATTATTGATTAGTCATCATGATTTCAAAGAAGCTGAAAAAAACTTTCTATCTTAATTACTGAGTTACTGGCATGAAGTTAAATCCGGATTGAGTTACCTAGCATATTTTCACCTGGCTCACGTCTCACATACATTTGCTCACTAAACTATAATGAAAACTACGAAAGACATAATAGTCAGAACATATAGCTGACAATTAAGTAAAGTTGTGCCACTAAGGAAATTGTTGCCTTAGCTAAACCATTGCACAATCAATTGCTGGTGAATATGTTAATAATGGTTCTAAATTTATTCTCAAGATGTCCTATTCTGGGGTTTTACGAGTGACTTCTTCTAAATGAGTTGGGGACTTCAAAATTTATACTCGAGTACCGTAATATCCACTCAGATTTCTGGATTTCTACTTTTTCTTTTTTCTGTGTAACAAAGATAAAATAAAAAAACGTTGAGGAGGACTGTTTGATTGCATTATGATTAAATATGGCCATGAAGATGGTTTGTCCAGACCAGTTTAGTGAATGCCATTGATACTCTCTTCTACTTCGGCAGTAAGTCAGATGTTCAATTGTTTTTTATGAATAACTTCTCTGCCATCATTTTTGTCGGTAGTCATATATCCAACTCTATAACTACTTGTCTCAATCACATGCATGTATGAGTGCAATATCTGCATATCTTATATGCACTACACATGACACTTTTTCTTTTGTAGAAGATAATGATTGTTACNAAACATGTCTCAAGTTAGGTTATATCAAACCCTAGATTTAGAATTTAGTTCATGATTAAGAGAAACGACATTATCCAATCTAATAGAAGGAACATAGAGAAGAAAAGAATAAGAAAAATTGATTCTCTCTTGCAATGCTCGTGTCTGGCACCGCAGCGCCAGCAGTTCTGCTGGTTTCATCTACCGGCTGGGCGTCCAGCTCTCTGCTGACTTTTGGGTTTCTTGGGTGTCGTAGTGCCCGTATGTTTCCTTCACTTTGTTTGCCTCATGTTCTAGCCTCTTTTCCACTTTATTTTTTTCTTTTTTCATCTCCACTCCATTGCCACTTCCATGATTAACAATTTAGCTCCATTCCAAGCTCCGAAATATGCCATCTTCTAAGTTACCTAAATTACAAAACAACATGAACAAACACATCAAAACGCTCAAGAACAAACCGAAAATTATGTTTTGGAAGTGCTAGTTCAATGAGTGAATTACACTCATCACTTATTTAGGGGGAACCCTAGTTGACTTACCGTTATTAAAAGGCCAATCTGCGTGTTTATATGTTGTAGAGAAGCGAGTGTTCCCTTTTTGAAGACAGACACCTTATATTTTGAAAAATAGGGCAGCTAACTTTCAACGTATCAATATTTAGTAGCTTTACACTGTATAAATAGAAAAAAGGCTTCAAAAAAAATTATTTTATTTTATTTAACATGTAAGCAACATGTCGTGTTAGTAGTTTTTAGAAAAATCACGTGTCAGTGTGTAAAACTTGTGTTCTGTGGGATGCAATTCCGTGCATCATAGCCCGATAACGTGCAAAAGATCTCTCCTCACCAACAAATTCACTGTGATGCTGCTTACAAATTTTATACTGGGTATGAGATGACAAGGAACAGAAACTAATTGGCCGACCACTTAAGCCTACTAAATCTTCCCAAGTACGTCCACAGTTCACTTGACATTTAACAACTAGGTGTGGAACCGTGATGGTTCTGCAAGGATTCTCGTTTTTTATATACGTCTTTATTTTGTATGAGACTCCTGTTTGTTTAAATACATGAATCAATTGGTTCATGTTCTACAACTCTACGACAAAAGAAATGGCTTCTGAGCTGCTCTGATATTGGGCAATGGTCTTATGAAATGTAATTGACATCGCTTATTAATGAGTTCATTCACAGTTCCCATGCATCGGCTGACTGCAGGGAAGTTACAGATTGGGACATGTATTCTGGACTTGCAATAAATCTTTTGTGGTTGGTTCTTAATTACCAAACCATTATCTTTTTGTTGACTAGAGATAATCTCCAGTTTCCATTATCTGTTGTTTGGCCAGACCTGCTGCATTAATTTTTACCCAATTGTAATATTCTTATTCTTATTTTCTGTTTCTCGTTTCTTATTGTTTGCTCCCTTTTCCTTTCTTTTTGGTTGTGAATGCATTGCTCCTGACAGTAATTTGACTAAAGTTTGGCCATTTTTGGCATCAATCAGTATCTAATTCTGAAAATTCATTCTACCTGTTGAGCATCATGGTCCTCTGGATTTTCATTCATAATTCTCTCTTTTGCCTGATTCTGTTTATACTATATTTTGTCATCCCTTGTTTGGTAAGTATTCACGTTGAAGTCCTTGGAGCCATACCTAATGGAACCAATTCAATCAAGATTCTTACTCTAGAACTCCGTTTGGCCTTCCATTTTGTTTCCACCTGTCCATATCATTCTTCTTTCTTTTGCAAATACTTCCGGCTTCTGTGCTTCCCTCAGAGTTGCAGTAGAAGCTTATCTACTTATATATAAGATGCCAAGGACAAGGGCAAGTTCTGCAGCTGCTGAATCAGTTGAACCTGAGAAGTCTGTTGAGATTGAAGAGCATGCTGAACTTGGCATGGATAATGAGATGGAGGAGACAGCGGAGGAAGAGGTTGAATATGAAGAAGTAGAGGAAGAAGTAGAAGAGGAAGAAGAGGAGGTGGAGGAAGAGGAGGTGGAGGTGGAGGTGGAGGTGGAGGAAGAGGAAGAGGAGGTGGAAGAGGAAGAGGAAGAGGAGAGTGATGCCCATGGAGCTGGTGCTCAAAAGGATCCAGATGGTGACGAAGATATGAAAAATTCTGAGGGGGAAGTGGATGCAGTAAAAAAGCATGCTGAGCTTCTTGCACTTCCTCCTCATGGTTCGGAGGTTTACCTCGGTGGTATTTCTCAGGATACTTCTGAAGATGACCTGAGGCACTTCTGTGAATCAACTGGGGAGGTTACAGAGGTAACTTCAACCTTCTTATATAGCAGGTTAATTATTTGATTGTATAGCTTACACGCACCTTGTGCATGTATATGACAGGTCAGGATAATGAAGGGAAAGGACTCAAATGAAAATAAGGGATATGCTTTTGTAACTTTCAGGACAAAGGAATTGGCTTCTAAGGCCATTAAGGAGCTAAATAATACTGAATTGAAGGTAAACGAATTGTCTACCTCAAAGAAGAAAGAAGAAAGAGGTCTTGTTTGCCTATTTTTCCATTATCCTGTGTGATATCTAAATCAAAATACCTCTTCTACACGGTCTTTCTTGTTTGTGTATTACGTTGTTGCATTTATTTGTTTCTTTGTTTTCAAATGTGCTCAGGGGAAAAGGTTAAAGTGCTCTACTTCTCAAGCAAAGCATAAGTTGTTCATTGGTAATATTCCTAAGAACTGGGGAGAGGAAGACATCAAAAAGATTGTGGACAAAGTAGGTCCTGGAGTTACCTCTGTGGAACTTTTGAAGGTAAGGTTGCTGTTAGATCTCAGTGTTGTCATGCATTTAGTTGTTGCATCTTCTAATACTACTAAAAGTTGGTACCACTTTTTTCCTTGTTTGCCAAATAAAGGTAAAATGTTTATATATTTTCCAGGACCCACAAAATTCAAGTAGGAATCGTGGATTTGTATTCATCGAGTACTACAATCATGCTTGTGCAGAGTACTCGAGGCAGAAGATGTCGGATTCAAAATTTAAGCTGGATGATAATGCTCCAACGGTCAGTTGGGCTGATCCAAAAAATGCAGAATCTGCATCTAATTCCCAGGTCATTGTTCTTGGTTCATTCCTTCCGTAGTTTTGGTTTCCTTTCTCTTAAGTAGTCAATTGGTGCTATCATGTACTGATTTTGGAGAATCTCAGTTGGCCACATTTTTAATTCTAAGATAGTTTTGACATGTAAAACCATTCTGATTTTCTCCTCATGCATAAAATGCTCGTCTCTTTGACGATTCTTTTTATATGCTTTATTATTTGTTGTATGTACTTAAAAGAGGCATGATTTTTATATGATATGTGTTAAACAATTTGTAACATCTTCACATATGCTTACCTTAACATGTAGGTATGCTACACGTATATGAGAGTTATTCATTGTTCTTTTAGGTTGTTGGAAGTACTTGGGTAACAGAAGGTTCATTCTGGACGATTGTGTTTTTTTTATGTGCCTTTCTTTTAATATTGACTAAGCATTTTGTTATAATATGTTGATTTCTCAAACTAGACCAGAAATATCAGAAATTAGAAAGTTCTTAATAAATTGAGAAATATTATCTTAGATGCTCTTAAATTCCTGATGGTTTCTGTCCAAAAAATACCCTTAAAACCTCGCGTAACTCTCATGAGGTGGTTTTTATGGGTAGTTTTAGGAAACGTATGTCCCCCTGTTTCCAAAAATTAAAAAAGAGAACTTTTGCAAATACTGTCCTCCTCCTCTCACACTTCCTCGTTCCTCCATTTGAATTCAATACATAAAATAATGGTTCTGAATACAAATCAAAGTTGATAACAAATTAAATTCAAAATGCCCAAATATTTATGTGAGAGAGGAGACATCGTGGTCCTGAGAATCATAAGATCCAACAGCTGCATTCTAATGAGAAAGTTATCTGAATCCAAATTAAAGAGAACTATTGTAAATTCAAAATTCAGTCTTCAAGGCCCAAAAAGGGGATATGGTGGCCTCATAATTTTGTCCATATTCCTAAGATTCAACAGGTGCATATGGCATTGTTTTCTTATGCCCCTTCATGATTACAGTTGCTGACTCTGTAGCACGGACACTTCAATCAGGGTAGCGTGTCACGTGTCCGACACGTGTTGGACACGAGTCGATACCGACACTTCTCGGACACTCTACCGTAATCATTTTTCTTTTTATATTAGAAATATTATATATTGTTAATTCAAAGTTATTAGCAAGTAACAAATAGGTACTCATGTTTAAAAGATTTCAACAAGAAAAATTAATAACAAGTATAAAACTAAATTT